ATTCATCCTGATTCACAAACAAAATGTAATTCTTGTAATGACTGCTCTCATCCCGGGGAAACGAGAGCCTCGCGCTGCAGCAAGGAGGGAAATGAGGCTCCGAGCTGAGGCACAGAGCCCCAGCGTCACCAGCTCTGTTTAGGGATGCAAAACAGCGGCTCCGGAATGCAGAGCTCTGCCACACGCCTTCGATCAAAATGGGGACAATTAATAAGAGCAGCCTGAAACTTCTGAAAATAAATCCGGCGTAATCAAATACTCACCGCTACACAAATTAGAGGAGGCAAGCTGAGAGCAGAATATCAACACATCGTTTCTTCAGGAGGCTTCAAGTTTCTCAGCTGGTTAAAGAGCCCCAAACCCCGACTCACTGCTCTACACAAGCTGTTCTCCTACTTATTCTCTGAAATTCTCTGCTGATAAAATAATTTTAATGGATGCTGGCAGTGAGCAAACCCAGTTGTTTTGCCACTTGAGTGAGTAACTTACTCTGCTTTACATCTTTGGGAAAGAGAGAGAGAACTTGAGATTGATTTTACAAGGCAAAAATATAATATAAATGGCAATTATTGTCATAATCCAAGTCTTACAAAAGGGACTGACCTCTGACTAAGCACAGGGCTGGCAGCCAGATATCTCTGAATTCTACTCAAGGCACACACTGATTCACACTGACACCTTATCTGTCTAACCCTAACCTTCCCTACTTCCAAAATCTGGGTTTCCTGCTATTGTTGCAATTCTACAGCAACAAGGCAGGAATTCAAACTCTGAGCCTGGATTCAAGGGCAGAATGAGGGATCAGCAGGACTAACAAACAGAGAGAAAAACTGTCGTGGCAGCTGAGTGTTGAACCCGGGCCCAAAGCCCAAACCTGTGCCAAGAGCAAGGATGAGCTCTTGGATTTGGGAGCCAAAGACTAAAATTTGGATATATAAGCACTGTAACAGCTCTCAAAGCAGGACGTGTGTGCTTTAGTTACAGTAAATCTCATGAACACACTGAAACAGCGTCATCCATATGAAGAAACAGTAATTTAAAAAGTCATCAATAAAACTGAGACACGGGCCTGCCCTAGACACCTGACTGACCAATCCCTGGAAGTGTCCAAGGCCAGGTTGGATGGAGCTTGGAGCAACCTGGGATAGTGGGAAGTGTCCCTGCCCATGGCAGGCGTGGGACAGGATGAGCTTTAAGGTCCTTTCCAACCCAAACCCAAAACACTCTGGGATTCTATGACAATTCATAATTTTCAGCCATCAAGACTACAGGGTATACAGTGCTGTCTTCTGCCTCCTCCACTTAATTTCAAAATTTGACCAATCCTTTATTAAAATGCAGGCAGAGTCTCAGAACTCATCTCCATTCATTCTGCCACTTGGGGTATCTAAATACTCAAATCACAAGATCCCTGTGAGGCAGAAAGTAACACTACACTAATTTTTGTTGACCAAGAGCTCCCAGAGAGGGGCTGGACTTTGGACAAGTCCAAATGACTTCTTCAAAGTCACTGAGAAATTTTGCAAGTAGGCAGAAGAAGAGCCTGGCCAAACTCTGAGCCTTTTCTCACCACACATGCAGGGTCCATCTATAGCATCACATATGACAACGGGTAGGACAACTTTCAAACAAAGCCATCACCAGGATTTCCACCACCTCTTCCACACATGAAGAAAAAGAGGCATTCTAAAGCATTTCAGGCACCTTCATTCTCATTCAGGATCTATCACCACCACTAATAACTAAACCACTTCCTTAAAAGAGAAATTAATTACTTCAGAAAACTAAAATCCAAACCCAACAAACAGCTGAATCTCACCTACCCATGTTTTTGTGTTTAACTACAAATCAAACTATTTTTCACTAGAAAAACAGTTTGCAAGTGCAGTATTACTGGCACAGCTTTAGTGAAGACAGAGATTACACCTGGAGAACTCAGGAACAGACAGCAGTCCTTGAAGAAAATAAATCATAATAGCAAAAACCATGGGCTTTTGTCCACTGCTGCTTCCATACTGAAGTTTCATTTTAGTTAAAAGCATTTCAGAAATAAATTAGTATCCTAATTAATGCTCTTAAAGCAACAAACATGTCTGGGTGTAACCCAGACCCAAACCAGGGAAATTTCATGCATGACAGAACAAAACCCAGTGCACATTCCACACTGCCAAGGCCACCACTAACCCATGTCCCCAAGTGTCACATCCACACAGCTTTTAAATTCCTCCAGGGAAGGGAATCTACCACTTCCCTGGGCAGCTGTGCCAAACCTTTTGAGGGGAAAAAACTTTACCATTCAACAAGATTTTTTTCTTTAGGCCACTTTTGCTATGAAATCATGAATTAACTCATCTGGTTCATTTTAAAGTAAAACCAAGGACTCAGGCAGGACATTGTTTCAGTTAAAGAAGCTAAAAAAGCCAAATGAATGCTCCCAGAGTCACCCACTATTTACACAATACCTTGTCACCGAAGACAAAAGGAGAAAATCAGCTGAGTTTTCTCTTACCTGAGTTTAATTAACCTATTTTGTGTCACATTTCAAGGACACTGCACAGGTACAGCTCAGCCTGTGGTCATTTCCTAAGCCACCCTAAATCCAGTGCCTGCTCTTCAATCCGTGCTGACTTGGTAGAGTTCACACTCTTGTTCTTTTCTTCCTGTTGGTCTTCCTAAATGATGACAAGGCTTCAATCCAGTCCTTCCCCATCTGCATTATTCACCCTGATTTTCTTTCACTCACTGCCCAGACTCCCCTGCATTGCTAGCAGTTAAATTCATAAACTCTGGCCTGATCATTCGGGTAAATTTGAAGTGATGACAGTGAAACTGTCTGGTTCTATCAGAAATCATACTTTGAGGGATGTAAAACATACTGATAGTCATAGCTCACTATTAACACATAATAATTAATCAATATGGACTATAAAGCTCAAGTAATTACTCCCATATTTATGGGGAGCCCAATAGAGATAAAGCTGTGTTGGCTACAGGACTTCGTTTTAGATAAATTCTTTTTTCCTGTGAGGCCAAGATCAAGAGTTCTGTGTTCACACCATGCCTCAAACTTCTCTCCAGCACTGACTCTCATCCTACTAAGGGTAAAAATGAGGCAGTGAAATGGTTAACTTGAACCCCAGGTGACTCCTACTCTTAGGAGTAACCAACTACTCTCTTACCATGGCAGTTCTGCAACTCTTCAATCTTAATCTTTATCACTATTTAAATTCAAACTTTTTAATTTTTTTAAGGCTCCATTTTGTTCTTTCCCCTTCATAATCCCATTTACACTTTTTAAAAGATATCTGTGGTTTAACCTGAAAACTTTCTAGCTAAATGGGTCATCTTGGCCCATTTCCTCTAATTTAATACTCTCTATCCCCTCCAAATAGGTTTCCCCCATTTTTCCCTCAGTCAAAAATTACTCACCCCTACTTCTACAGCATCTTCCAGGGCCACATTAACTGCACATACACTGGAATAAATCAAGGAAGCTGCTACTGCTCTGCTGGGAGGTGGCAGCAGAAAACTGCACAGGGGCAGAACATGACTGAAATCCAGCTGAAACACAGGAAATTCAAGCTATGCAATTCCCAGTCTGGAAATTTCTGGCCAAAGCCTGACACAAAGCTGTGAGATGTCCTTGTGCTCACTCCAGAGGAGCTCTGAGGTCACCCAGCAAACTCCGAATTACCAGGATAACAAAGATGCCCAGGGTGATGTGGCCTTACCTTCAGACTTCTCTCCTGCTGCGAACCAGATCTTTACAATTTCAAGTGGTGATTTTACTGAATACTGAAATCCAACATACTTCCAGCTAAAAGGAAGAAGAGGAGGTGGCTCAAGGGACTGGCAGCAAAGTAGGAAATCACCAGTTTTGAACAGAACACTAAGCCACCGACAATAGAAAATCACTAATTAATGGCTTTTTGAAATCCATTTAGTGTTGGTTTCCAACACTAAATCCCTGTCAGTCATTATTTTTTGCTGTGACTCGTTCTACAGAAGGCTGTGACTGCACTGCCACTTGCACTATCACTGTCCAAGGATACATCTTCATCCTTGAAAAAATCCATCAGGGAAAATGTGATGTATTCACAGCAGTCCAGTTCCTTGCTACCTATCCCACAGAAAAAGTTCCTCTTTCCAGCCCAGTCTGATAGAAGGAACAATCTGAAGTCAAGAGGTCAAAGTACCTCGGGATCTGACTGCAGGAGACGAGCATTTGGCTGTGCCTGTAACAGGGATATTGTGAACAGCCATACAGGACTGGCCAGTGGGAGATGAGTGACAGCACAGTGCAGGTCAAGCCCTTCCTTTCAGCCTGACAAGCTTCAAAATTTGAATTAATTTGCTTATTTATTGAAGAAACAGCATGGAAACCAATGAAATTGAAGATATATGATGGAAGTAATTAAAAGGAATAAACTGATTTCAAATTCCACAATGAGATTTGAACAACCTCGATTGGCACTGGGGTCCAGCCACCTGAGTGGCTTGGACCAACACATCCAGCACCAGGGTTAAGTGAGGTGCCCAGGTTTTCTGCCTCTGTCAGAGGCTACTAAATTGAAGGTGGCTTATCCCTTTCAGCAAAGCTAGAGTGGTGTTAAACTCTTTATCCCTCTCATTTGTTCAGTTGCTGAATGGAGATCTCTCCTTTAACACTGATTTTTCTCTAACCAAGACTGATTTTCTAAGAAATGCATCATTTTCCTTCTGTTTCAGTGACAGAAATGTAGAAGCATGAACAATACATGAGCCAGACCAAGTGAGCAATTCAGCGTTACTACTCCCTAATTTAAATATCCAGTTATTTTACTATACCTGGTTTAAATGTCTTCCCTGGTTTAAATCTTCCACTAAACCAGTGAAACTCTCCAACTCGGCCAACTGCTCATAATCACTGCAACCATTTCTCTGCTCTTTTTAGACAATTTAACAGAAGAACACCACAAAATTACTCTTAATTGTTGTGAGTTTCTTCAGCTTGTACTTACACTACTGGAAAAGTTCTGAGCATACTTTACATGAGGATGGGACGTTACAAAGCCTCTTGAGGGTCTTCAGTGTTATTCACCATTCTGTAAGACACAAGGAAAAGATTCAAGAACATTAGAGATGTCTGGGAGAGGCAAAGGGATCCAATCACATCATTCTGGATAATCTGTCACTAATCCAGACTCACAGACTTCAATGCACACGGGTAAATTCTTATGGAGAAAGTTGATGTCTGGTGTTGTAATCAGTCCAGAGACAAAAATTTAAATTACAATTGATTTCTTTCGGCCACAAGTAAATTAATCTATGCAATCATTTAGCCTTATGACAGTTACCTACCCTTTTAACTCACAAAAGCTATTAAAAGGATTATTTGGCCAACATCCGCAAAGAGCTCAGGAGACAGGTACTGTGATCTGAGGAGGAATGACCTAATAGAATTTTCCTCAGCTATCACTGCTGATGTCTTTCTCCACAAACTAACACGGACTGAAAGTGCTCCAAAAGTCAAACTATTAACCAAGAGGAAAGAGAAAAGAAGGATGTTATATCCAGGAAGAGCTGGGATAGAAAATGAGTGGATACAGCAGCACAGGGAGTTGCACGGGATAACTTCCTCTGCTCCATCTCTAACATCAGCAATTGTGGATTGGTAATCCATGGAGAGCAGCCATTGATGGACATATCTTGGCTCTCCTTGGTGGTTAAAAGTGGTCCAGACCTTAGAGAATGACTCTTCCTCCCTCAACACCTGCTGAAGATGGTGGGGAAGAACTGCACCTCTCCCAGATGGAGCCCACTGGACACCCAAGGATGCAGAGGCACAGAGATGGGTAGGCTGGAAAAGCCCTCTAAAATCACAGAACCCCAGAATGGTTTGGGTTGAAAGGGACCTTAAAGCTAATCCTGTCCTACCCCCTGCTATGCACAGGGACACCTTCCACTATCTCAGGGTGCTCCAAACCCCATCCAACCTGCCTGGGACACACTTCCAGGGATCCAGGGGCAGCCACAGCTTCTCTGGGAAGCCTCTATCAGGGCCTCACCACCCTCACAGCCAAGAATTCCTTCCCAAAATGCCATCTATCCCTCCCTTCTGGTAGAGGGAAGCCATTCCCCCTTGTCCTGTCCTTCCATGCCTGTCCCTCCATGCCCTTCAGACACTGGAAGGGGCTCTGAGGTCTCCCTGGATCCTTTTCCAAGCTGAACATTCCCAGCTCTCCCAGTCTGGCTCCAGAGGGGCTCCAGCCCTCAGCCCAGCTCCGTGGCCTCCTCTGGTTTCACTCCAACAGATCCACATCTTCCCTGCACTGAGGACCCCAGAGCTGGACACAGAGTTCCACATGAGGTCTCACAAAGCAGAGCACAGGAGGAAAATCACCTCCATCAAGACCATCAAGTCAAATTGTTACCCCAGCACTGCCAAGGCTGTCCCCAAGTGCCACATCCACACGGCTCCTAAATCCCTCCAGGGATGGTGATATCATCTCTACATGTTTTGGTTTTTTTTCCCCTGTTTTCTGCCATGAACTTTCAGGACCAAAGGCTGGGCTGAATGAGCTTTCCCAGAAGTGGAAGCATTCAGCTTTTGACCACCAGCTTTCCTGGGAGGTTTAAGCCTGTCCATAAGAGCCTTCTCCCACCCAGCTGTGGCCAGAGAAAGCTCTGGGTGTTTCCAGGGAGGGGAGGTGCTGAGAGTCGGCTGCTGCTCTTCCAGAACAACTCATTTGGCCCACACTGAGGTCCCGAGCTGCCTCTTTCTCTCCAGGAAAAGAGGTCACCAAGATGAATGGTCCCAGCAGACCCCCACAGGCCACGTTTGTGAGCTGAGAGACAATCGCTGACACCAAAGCACTGATGGATGGAAGAGACAAACACCCAGGTCCCTCCCTGTCAGCCACCCCAAACCTTTTAGAGAGACTCCCCCACCAAACCCCTCCTCTGTCAAATCTCTTAACTGCATTTTAAACATATTCCCCGAGGCAGTCACAAAAAATATGAGATCATGCTGCTGACTTCTTGCCAAATTTTAATACAGAGAGCTGTTTTGTTTTCCAAAGGGGAACAAATTAGACTTGAATATATACAAACTTTCTGAAGGTCAGAGGGGCTAATGATAAAGAACTGGATTCCTCAGAGAAGGATCTGCTTCCAGGGTGAGCAGTATGGATGTAGCAAAGAAGAAACCTCAGAAAGGGAAAAAAAAAATCACCTTCCATCATCATGAAATGCAGGATTAAAAGTAGAACATGAGGAGATGAGATAAGAGAAGCAAAGAAAAGGCTGCTGTTAACTCAGGTTTTGAGATGACAAAGGCAGGAGGATGATATTAGTGATACCAATGAAAGAGGAAAAAGCTGGTATGGACCTCAGATGTTTTAAGAGAAGAGCCATTAGGATCTAGACCAAATTTGGGACGTGATTAGAGGAGGAAGATGAGCTTTTCCAAGAGACTGCAGATCTGTGAGTGCAGACAGAGGGCAACAGGATTTCAGCAGAAATAAACAGCAGCAAAACCATCAGAAAATAAGGAAAATTCTCTGGTTCTGATACGTTAAAAGTGTCAGGCAGGTTTACTACACTCAGAATGCAACCACAAACTGTCCCACACGAAGTGAGGAAGGACAGGGAAGGGAAGGGAAACCCAGCTCCAGAGAAAGGAGAGGAAGCTGGTGCTTCCTCCAGCCGCTGCCAGCCCCGAGCGGCCGCTATTGAAAAGGGGCACAAACAGTCTTTGACTCCACGCTGGTCTAAAGTTCAGTGGCACAGAAATACCTTCCCCACCCCCAGACACATGTGAGAAGTTGCTTCAATGCTTTTGTCACTTAGAAGCACATCAGGCAGGCAAAAAGCAAACCCTTCACCTAAAATCGGAGTCAAAACAATTCAATCCGACCAACATAAATTCCATCAGCGACAAATCCTGACTCTGAATCATGCCTCAATATCCCTCTTTCCCTCAGTCTCCTTTTAGCACCACAACAGTCTGAGCACAGCAGCCAAGGCAGGTGTCACCACTCTTTGCGGCGATAGGGGAGTAAGAATTCACAAACCTTTGCCCTTTTCGCATTATTCATTAAATAAATTATCTGCTAACCTAGGGAAAACACAACCAGCTCCCCTTCCTATTTCTGGTAGAGACAAAAAAAAAAAAACCCAATCATTATTAATATGGAAATTATGGTTGCAGTTGTAGAATCAGATGTAATGAACAATCTTGTCCCCAGCTTAAGTTGCTATAAAGGCAGCTTAAATTTACAATGGATGAGTCTTCATGGCAATCTGTTTTTCAGATATTAAAAATCTAATTTTCTCGGTGCCAAGGACAAGTGGAAGTGTGAAGCACTGGAGTATCAACTCTGCATTTGTCTCACTTGACATGAAATCATTCTCATTTTAGTTCTGATTTTTAATACATTCTTGGGATCCCCTTCAGTTTTCTTCATTTCTCACTGTGTGCAATTAAATGTTTTGAAGTAGAGTTCACCCTGATCCACAACATCCAGCAGAAGCAAGGAGAAAGTTACTTGGTAAAGATGAGCCTGATATCACTTATTTGGAAGAGAAACTAATTTTCTCTTTTAATTTCTGAGTGACTCGCATAGTATGAATTTTTTTTTTTAAATGCCATCACTTTGTATTTCACTAATACCTTTTCCTTGGTGAGTTCTTAAAATGGGCTTTACAAATAACAAACTAAAAGCTTTTGTCCTTGGGGAAGACAAACATCACCATTTTGACATGAGTAAAACATGAACAGAGGGGCTGAATTCTTGGCTTAAAGCCAACCAGGGCAGTACCAGTGGCTGAAAAACAGCAGAGGCCCCAGCACTACAATTTTCACACCACTCCTGAAATGCAGAACCACCAAGGTCCATGCTGGTGAAGAAATTCAGCCCTAAGAACAAAGTTCTACCACTGCTGAACTTGCAGTAAAGGCAAATCCCCAATTCCATGCATAATTACAAACCAATTCTCTCCTAGAAACAGCAAGATTTTAAAAAATTTAGGTCTTTTACTCAATGTACAGCTTAAGGTCTGTAGGAACTGTGAGGTTTTCTGGGTAGACCCTGTGCAGATGTGTGTACACGTGTCCATGAACATGTGTTGGGGAGGCTCAGGCTGGACATCAGGAGGAATTTCTTCATGGAAAGGGTTGTTAAATGTTGGAATAGGCCCAGGGAGGTGGTGGAGTCCCCGTCCCTGGAGGTGCCCAAGGCATAACTGGATGTGTCACTCGATGCTCTAGTCTGGGTGATAAGCATCTGTCAAAGGTGGGACTCGTTCCAACTGGATGATTTTGGAGGTCTTTTCCAACCTAAATTATTTTGGATTCAATAGGTTTCTCTACACTGAGGCCAGTGTGAAGTAAAGCTGTTACCTGGGTTAACTTCTGTCCCAGGACATCTCGCCCTGAAACCAGCAGGAGACCAAGGATCCGTCCACTCCAGTTCATCCTGGTGATTAATCACCCTCTCCACTACAAATTTGTACTTGATTTCTACTCTGAATGTGTCTGGCTTCACATTTCAGACAGCAGCCCTCCTCTGCCAGTTCCAAGTCCTTTATTCCTGGGAGATGTTCAGACAGGCTCTTATTTACCCAGTGCTTTTAAACATCCAGGTACTGCATTTGTATCAAAACTTAAATTCTTCTGGGTACATGCACAAAAGTAGGACTAATGTCCAAAATACTGGAGCTAATCTAGGACTCTCTAGCCCATTTTCCCAAAATAGGCATATTAGGAAAAAAAAAAATTTAAAAAAAGCTCTGCCATATGACTCGAGGATGTGTTTTATTTGTGGCCTGGGAAACAAGGCTAGGAACCTTCTCCTGAGCACATCCCACAGCTTGGTGACGTGCAGCATCCAGTTCCACGTGGAAATCCTTTTATCCAAGCTCCCTGCTCCAGCAGGGCCACCAAAGCCAGCTGTTCAGGACCATGTTCTGAATATCTTCAAAATTTAAGACTACATTTTCTCTGAGCAACCTGCACCAGTGAGTGGAAACACTTTTTATGAACATAAAAATCTTTAGAAAAAACAAAAACGCTCAAAAGTCACCTCCAGCCACTGCTATTTTC